GTAGTAGTAGTAGTAGTAGTAGTAGTAGTAGTAGTAGTAGTAGTAGTAGTAGTAGTAGTAGTAGTAGTAGTAGTAGTAGTAGTAGTAGTAGTAGTAGTAGTAGTAGTAGTAGTAGTAGTAGTAGTAGTAGTAGTAGTAGTAGTAGTAGTAGTAGTAGTAGTAGTAGTAGTAGTAGTAGTAGTAGTAGTAGTAGTAGTAGTAGTAGTAGTAGTAGTAGTAGTAGTAGTAGTAGTAGTAGTAGTAGTAGTAGTAGTAGTAGTAGTAGTAGTAGTAGTAGTAGTAGTAGTAGTAGTAGTAGTAGTAGTAGTAGTAGTAGTAGTAGTAGTAGTAGTAGTAGTAGTAGTAGTAGTAGTAGCAGTAGTAGTAGTAGTAGTAGTAGCAGTCGTAGTAGTAGTAGTCGCATTCGTAGTCGTAGTTGTAGTGGTAGGCGCAGTCGGGATTATTCAGAGTAAACGTGCGAGTGCGATCACGATTGGGCGTCGACGACTAAAGCGGAGGCCTGGGCGGTGATCGCCAAGGTGGAATAATTATGACCAGCTGCTGCCGGGGTCCCAATCCGTCAACAAGCCAGCAGAAAATCATAATTCGTTTCCCACTATTGGGCGGTATAGGGGGTCGGTTATGAAAGTCCCTTCGGGGTTATGGAGTAGGATCGAGGGTTGGTCACGAGTTGGAGGTTTCATGATCCTCATCCCAAGCCTTGCTTGTTGTGCTGCCCTCATCCTCATCTTCCGCTCCCCTCATCGCGTGATTCGTTTCTACACTACTGCTGCTGCCCTCGTTTCGTGCAGATTGAAAATGGGCTTGCTGGCCGTCCTGATACACATTCTCCCGTTGCCCTTCCTGGCTTCGTCGATCCGAACCGCAAGTCCTTACACTTCTCGATATGTGCTTCCTTTCTGCATGACGCGATCCGAAGTGTTCTTGACACTTTGTTTGCCTGCGCGCTCAGTTAGAGACAATCTGAGCGAGCTGTGGCCGCTGTTCGGTGGGAGATCGCCCGATCGATATTGGCGCGAGCTGTGTCACCAGTGTCATGAGACGTCGGACTGCTCCTTGGCTACGCTCGAGGAGGGAAGAAGAGAAGGGAGGAGGAAGAGGAGGAGGAAGGAGGCAGGGGAAGGAGGAGGAGAAGGGAGGACGGGGAATAGCAGAGGGTGGAGAAGGAGGAACGCAGGGTGCGGATTGATGATGATGATGATGCTGATGATGATGATGATGATGATGATGATGATGATGATGATGATGATGCTGATGATGATGATGATGATGATGATGATCATGATGATCATGATTATGATCATGATCATGATGATAGTGGTACTGATGAATCTGCGTATGCTGGTTATGCTGATGGTGATGGTGACGATGACGATGGCGATGACGATGATGATGATGATGATGCTGATGATGATGCTGCTGATGATGTTGATGTCGATGCTGCTGATGCTGATGACGAGGATGGTCATTCCGACGGTGATACTGTGGGTGGTGATGATGACGAGGACGGTGACCATGATGATGCTGATGATGATGATGATGATGCTGATGCTGATGCTGATGCTGATGCTGATGATGATGATGATGATGATGATGATGCTGATGATGATGATGATGCTGATGATGATGATGATGATGATGATGATGATGATGCTGATGCTGCTGATGATGATGATGATGATGATGATGATGATGATGATAATGATGATGATGATGATGATGATGATGATGATGATGATGATGATGATGATGGTTGACGGCGGTACCCGGGCAGGCGCATGCTCGGCAGCCGCATGGTACGTAGGGGGTTTGCTTCGGATCGCACGGAAGGTTCCAGATCGCCAACTGCTATGCCTGGCACGTTTCCGCGGCAGCCAGTCTCATCTTTTACAGAAGCCATTGCCTTAGACGAGGCGGTACAGGCATTGGCAACCACAGCCGCCTGGCAAAAAGCTAACGGCCGTCAGCATTCGGACCTAGGCCCCGGGAAAGAAAGAAGATGATGACGGTCATGAAGATGATCATGGATGAGGAGGACGACGACCATGATGATGGTGAGGATGAGGATGAGGATGAGGATGATGATGCTGATGTTGATGCTGATGCTGCTGCTGCCGATGATGATGATGATGATGATGATGATGATGATGATGATGATGATGATGATGATGACGTGGATGGTAATTTCGATGATGCTGATGGTGGTGGTGGTGATGATGATGATGAAGACGATGACGATGACGCTGACGCTGATGATGATGATCATGGGTCAGGAGGAATACGGCGATGATGAGGACGATGATGCTGACGCTGATGCGGATAATGCTGATGATGCTGATGATGATGACGATGATGCTGAGCAGGAGGCGGAGGAGGAGGAATATGAGGATGAGGAGCACTGTGCTGATGCTGCTGATGATGATGCTGCTGATCATGATGATGCTGGCGGTCATGATAATGATGATGATGTTGATGCTAATGCTGCTGATGATGCTGATGATGATGCTGATGATGCTGGCGGTTATGATGATGCTTATAGTGATGCTGGTACTGGAGATGATGCTGTTGATGATGATGCTGCTGATGATGTTGATGCTGGCGGTCATGACGACGATGATGATGATGATGATGATGATGATGATGATGATGATGATGATGATGATGATGATGATGCTGATGCTGATGCTGATGCTGATGCTTCTCATAGGGGGGGGAGGAGGAGGAGGAGGAGGAGGAGGAGGAGGAGGAGGAGGAGGAGGGAAGAAGACGAGGGTAAGAACGCCGAAGGGTTTCACTTGATGGCTTTCGTCACGAAGAAGGACACTGGCTTGAAGACGATCATCAAGGGCTTCCTCACTGGCGGCACTCAGGCCTCCAGGGGCCCAGACGTGAACAGGGCAAGTGAGAGGGGGGGGGGGGGGCAAAGGGCAGGGCAGGGCGGTGAATGAGAAGGGACGGATGGGGCACGGTCGAGGACTCTGGGACAGCGTGTCGCCCCGCCGGTGCTGGCCCACCGCGCCTCGGCGCGACACGCTATCCGCTTCGCGCTGCCCAGGCGTCCACGTCCTGAGGTCTTTCGAGCCTCCCGCCCCTTGGAGCGGTGCAGCACGCTATCCGCCTGCAGAGCATAGCGTGTCGCCGGGGCCGCTGCGGCGACGCGCTATCCAACAGTTTCCGGCCGTAGGTGGGGAGGAGAGGGGAGGGAGGGGGGCAAGAGTGGAATGGGGGAGCAAGTATGGGGTGACAAGTGAGAGAGGGGCATGGGGGGGGCGGCAAGAGGGGAGCAATAGGGAGCCGAGGAAGGGAGGAGTCAGTGGAGGGAGCCTGGGGATGGCAGGCGAGTGTGAGTGGGGAGGGAAGGAGGGTAAGGGTTGTGGAGGACGGTCAGTGGAGAGGAAGCACGTTGCCAAATAATTTCCAGATGTCTAAAACATGTGTTAAACATGGTTAAACATGTAAAAAAACATGTTACAACCATTTTAAATTCAATGATAGGACTGTTAGTGTGTCCATTGTCGTGGCATCCACAAGGTAAGGGGGAACAGGGGCTTGGGGGAAGAGGTGAATGGGGGGACAGGAGGCGCAGCGGGGAGAGGAGGGGAAGGCAGAAATTGGGATGAGGGCGGGGGGGGGGAGGGGGGAGGAGGAGAGGAGTGGATGGGGGACGAGAGGGAGAAGAGGAAGGAGGGGAGCGGGGGGAGGGGGAGAGGAGGGGAGGAGAGGAGAGGAAGGACGGGAGGAGACGAGGAAGGAGGGAGGAGAGGGGGAGGAAGAAGGAAGAGGGAGAAGAGGAGACGATGGGAGCGGGAAGAGGAGGCGAGGAGGGAAGGGGGGAAGAGGTGAAGGGGAGACGAGCGGCGGAGCGGGGAAGGAGCTTCTGCCCCCGTTTTTTGGGGAAGGCCGCCATCACGTACCCGACCGAGTTTGTCAAGACCCAGCTGCAGCTCCAGTCGAAGACCGCTCCCGAGTACTCGGGCATCGCCGACTGCTTCAAGAAGGTGTACGCCAAGCACGGCATGGGCGGCCTCTACGCAGGGGCCCCCGTGCGGATCATCGGCGCAGGCTTCCAGCAGATGTTCCGCTGGGGAGCCTACACGAACCTGGCGGGCGTCGCCCGCGACCCCGCGACCGGCAAGCTGAGCCCGTTGATGACCACGCTCTGCGGCCTGGGCGCGGGCATCTGCGAGGCCGTCTGCGCCGTGACCCCCGTCGAGACGCTCAAGACGCGCGTGAACGACGACATGCGCCGAGGCACCGGCAACTACAAGTCGGGTGCTGCTGGCAGTGCCCCTGGCCCAGGGTGCCCCCCAGGACTTCCAAGGAGGCCACCGGGGCCTCCAGGCCACCCCTCCCGAGGCCCAGAGGGCCCCAGGAGTTCCACAGTGGAGCGAACATGACGGGCGAATTGTCCACCACCGCTACCATAGGCAGGACGGGGGAGGGGAGAAGGGAGGATGGGGAGGCCCTCCCGCTTCCTCCTCCGCCTCCTCCCCCTCCTCCTCCCACCTCTCCTGCCTGTGGTACCGGGGGGTGGAAGATCGGCCCGTCAGAGCAGCTGGGGGCACCCTGGGCCAGGGGGCACCTGCAGCAGCCCTCGAACGAGAGCACCGGGGACGCGCTCGTGAAGATCTTCAAGGCTCGGGAGCCGGGCAAGGGCTGCTAAAAATCCGTGGCTGCTAAAATCGACCTCCGGGAAGTTGTCTTCGGCCTTCCGGGCAGAAGCCCGCTGACTGTTTCGCGTGCCGCGCCTCATTCCTGGAAGGTGTTTTCTCCTTCCGGGAGGGCCGGTTTAGCAGCCACCCACGGTTTTAGCAGCCCTCGCCCAGCTTCCGAAAGGCGGAGGGCCCGATGGGCCTGTACCGCGGCGCGGCCCCCACGATCCTGAAGCAGGGCACCAACCAGGCGGTGCGGATGCCCGCCCAGGTTCCGGAGTAGGCTTATGATGCGCCAACCTACTTTAGCCTTGCTCGCCAGAAAGAATTTCGAGCGCCAGCAAAAAGTACCGAAACTCGATGGTTTTCGCGTGTTGGGCCCTGGGAGACACTCGTCCGACACTCTTTCGACTGTCTTTTGACACTTTTCCGGGTGCTCGAAATTGTTTCGGGGATGTGGTCCTTAAGTGCGATGGGAGAAACAAAAGAGTAGGCGAAACAAACACAGATACAGCCCATCGTCAATCCCATGGAACATTCAGAGAACACAGTCAAGGCGCTGAAATAAGGAACAGTTTGGGTTCGGATGGGGCTCGATGTTCCTGAGGTCCTTCCTTGGTTGTTCCTCTAGCCCTCCTCGTGCACCCATGCGCTTCTGGGGCCAAAGGGGGGCTTCGTTCCTTGTGTGGCGTTCCTTCTGGCACTAGCGCCTCGACTGTGGGGGAATGCGGGGAGGAAGACGACAGTCCAGGGAATGCGGGAAACATCGGGAATCCTGGGACTCGTGACTGTCATGTGTGGTGTGCCTGGGCCCCTGTGCAGGTGGCGATCATGGGGCTCATCACCTTCGGGGACACCACGAAGAACGCCAACCCGCTCCTCAACGGCAGCGCCGGGTTCCTGGCGGGGTGCGTCTCGGTGTTGGCCACGCAGCCCGCGGACTGCGTGAAGTCCAAGATGCAGGGCGAGGCCGCCAAGGACCGGCCGCGAGCGAGGGGGGGGGGGAAGCGAGGAGGAGAAGGTTCGAACTTCGAGGTTCTATGCTTTCGGGAGTTTTCGTGGTTTTTCGGCGGGTCTTCCGCCCTCGGGGTGCGTTCCAGCGGCTGCGCCTCGCCGAGAGCGTTCCGGGGGTGCCGGGATCGTCTCGAACGGCCGCCGGAGACCCGAGGTATGACCCAAATAACCACCTTCGGCGGCGCGCCCGGGGGGAGGTCAGAAGGAGGAGGCCTTCGTAGAAGGCGGCGGGGCTTCTCAGAAGCCCTCTGGCCTTCGCAAGAGGTGTTCGGTGCCTTCGGGGAAGGCTTGGTGAGCTTCTCAGGAGTCCGGGGGACTTCCGAGCCCTTTGAGAAGGCCCATCCCTTCTCACTGCCCCCCCGCGCTCGCCGCCAACAAGGGTTGGCCGCGCGCAGAGGGGTGTAGGGGGGAGGGGGGAAGGCTTCTCAGAAGCACCCCTGCTTCTTACAATGTGCAGGCCTTATCTATAGATGTAGGGCCGGCGCCTTCTAACCTCCCTCTACGAAGCCTTCCCCCTTCTCTCTACTCCCTTGTGCACGCCGCCAAGAGGAACTGTACTCCGGCACCGTTGACTGCGCGATGAAGATGCTGAAGGCCGAGGGCCCTTCTGCGTTTTTCGCGGGGTCCATTCCTCGGATGGTGCAGGTCGGGATGACGAGCGGCATCAGCTTTGCCCTGTTCCCAGTGATCAGCAAGTTGCTCAACAAGGTCATGTAGTGGATTCGGCTGCAGGTTCCGATCGCGTCGGCCGTGTTGGATGGCTCAGACGCTTGCAGCCTGGTCCGCTTTGCATTCACTCGAGCAGGGTTTATGAATTGTATTCCGTGCTTCTCTGCTTCGTCTGCAGTGCGTCCAGCTATACTGTTTGTTCCAGGCGGCTGTTTCACTTGCAAGGGAAGACCTGTTTTGACACGCCGGAGAGGGCGCCAGCTGTATCCGGCGATGTAAGGCGAGGGCTTGGGCCCGCCAATTTTTTGTTGTTGAACCCGTGTGTGAGCCAGAACGGTTGCGTGAGCTGACAACACATTGCATAGTCGCAACCGTTTCGTTCTGAGCTCTTTCCATCTGCAGCAAACATACATCGTATCATGCAGCCTTCGCTATCATCTGCGTGTGTTATATATATATATATATATATATATATATAATATATATATATATATTATATATATATATATATATATATATATATATATATATATGGTCTCTAAGTCTGCTGCTACGCTGCTGCTGCTCCCGCTGCCGTTTTTCCTGCTGCTGCTCCTCCTTGGTTGGAGAGAGAGAGAGAGAGAGAGAGAGAGAAAGAGAGACAAAAAGGAAGAGAGAGAGAGAGAGAGAGAGAAAGAGTGGGCGATAATATAGACATAGCGAGAGAGAGGGAGAGAGAGAAACAGAGAGAGAGAGAGAGAGACAGACAGAGAGAGAGAGAGAGAGGAATAGTGTATGCTAGCTGGTTGCCTTCGGTAGCCGTTCTTCTTTTCCTGTCCCTCTTCTCCTCCTCCTCCTCCTCCTCCTCCTCCACTTCCTCCTCCCCCTCCCAGCCCATGCCACTTCCACCCTCTTCATCTTGCTGGTGGGAGGAGGAGGAAGAGGAGGAGGAGGAGGAGGAGGAGGAGGAGGAGGAGGAGGAGGAAGACCAGGAGGATGAGGAGTCATCGCAGGACGGGGATGGAGGAAGGGGGAGGGGGGCAAACGGCTCAAGTTCCTCTTCTACTCCTCTTCCCACCCTCCTCCCTGCCACCCTCCTCTTCTCCCCCTCCACTCTCGTCTCTCCTCTCTCCTCCTCTCTCCCCCGCCTCCTCCTCCTTATCCTCTTCCTCCTCCCCCTCATCCGCCTCCTCCTCCTCTCTCCCCCGCCTCCTCCCCCCTCCTCCGCTTTCCTTCTCTACCCACCCGCTGACCCATCTGCAGTGATTCGTCACGAGTCATACTTCTGCCTCTTCCCCGATTACTTCCTTTCAAGCTCCCGCTCCTCCCGCGTTTTTCCCCAAAGCGTGCCTGCCTTAGGGGTTCTTTCCCGCTCTGGCGGCTAAGTTGCCGCCGTCGCCGCCCCGTTGCCGCCTCGTCGCCGCCCGTCGTCTGGGCCTGTCTGCCGCTCTGCCAGCTATGTTGCCGCCGTCGCCGACCCATCGCCACCTCGTCGCCGCCTCGTCGCCGCACAGAAAAATAAATTGCACCACGTATATTGCACAAAACATAGCTTACACCACATGTATTCCGGTCTAAAAGGAATTTGGATCCACCGCCTTCCCGAGGCTAGGTTTATCCGCCCCCCTAGGGATGTGCAATTTAATCTGATCCTGCCCCATCGTTCATTCTAAATATGACTGTATGTGATCCCCGCTAAACTGGTATGCATCTCCTCATCCCGTGCAGCGAATACCATGCGCTCACACTTTTCATCCTCACATATGGGTTTCAATCATCCCTTGCAAAACATGGCACGAAGTGAACACGCGCGCGTCGTCGCGCGCGCATGCCGAAATCATTAAAACACCGAGGGTTTCGTACGGATTTCGAAATCGAGTGCCCCGAAAACACATAGAAAACCGATGGTTTCGCAACAGCACGAGCGTTCAACAAAGCGTGCGCTCGCGCTTGTGCGAATTCTTCAGTAAGCCACCGGCCGATCACATTTTCATCACATGCTGCCAGACGTGCCTCTCGCGCGCGCATGTCGAAATCGTTCGAGCGCCCCTGCGCGCCTGCCGGGGGGAGGGCACGGTCCCTGTCAAACAAAACCATGCAGGCCATTCGCGCGCGTCGACCGCGCGCGCATGTCGAAATCCTCCCAAAACCTTCATCACCGACGCCAGGACGCCGTCATCGTCATCGGCGTGATCAGCATCGGCGCCGTCAATTGCTCTTGCCATCGTCATTGGCATCATCGTCATCACAGTCGCTACTACTATCGTCATCATCATCATCATCATCATCATCATCATCATCATCATCATCATCATCATCATCATCATCATGTCTGCCGGAGTCGAGGTCGCCATGGCACCGCGCCTGCCCGGGCCACCTGCTCGCGCTGATGTGCCCGCGCGTCAGCGCGGCCTGCGAGACGCGCTTTGAAGCTCCGAACGGTCAGCGCCACCGCTGCCGCCTCGGTCGCGCCAGACTGTCTGGCCGCTCTGCGCACGAGTCTGCGCGCGCTAGCGCGGCCGCAGCGATGCACCAGCCAGCGCCAAACAGCCCTCGCAGTCGCCGCCGCATGGGCTTTGCAAACCGAGTTGCGGGTGGGTGGGCGGGATGTTTGCACGAGCATGGGAGGTGGCCACGCGCGAGGAAGCCAAAGTCAAGTGCACCACGTAGATTACACGAAACATAGTTTGTACCACATCGTTTGCACCACATAGGTTGCGGCACATAGCAGCACATACGTTCCACCACATCGATTGCACCACATAGGTTGCACAGTACATAGATTGCACCACATATATTGCATCACGCATGTGTCACCACATCGATTGCTTCTCTGTATTGTGCCACGCGTATTTTGCACAATCCATATATTTCGTGCATAGATAGCCCCACAGATATTGCACAACGTGTATTGCTAGAAATATTTTGTTTGGGGCCCACGTTAACTAACGCGGTTTTAAGTTCGGGGCGTGAGGCGATGGTGCTTCCGGAGTTTGGTCCCGATCCGGCATCCTCGCCTGTATCGAAGGCGCTCTCGCCTCGGCGCCTGCCGCGCTCTTGCGCCTTCTGCAGTCAGCACACACGATGGAAGGAGTTGCCCTAGACAGGGTTGGCTCGGGGGCGTGGTCGGGGCTGGATGTCGTGGGCCGGGGGGTCGGCCAGGATTGGCTGGAGGACTGGCCTGGGCAACCCGTCGATTGCTCCCGTGCCACGGTGCATCCACCATCTTTCCAGAGTCGGGCCCCCAGACGGGGTCCCACCTGGCCGGCCTTCAGAGCCGCGTCCCGCCGTGGCGTCGAGAGCCTCCAAAAAGCCTACAGGCTTCAGGGGCGGCCTGATCGACCCCTCGCAAGCCGAAGCGACCCCTTCCTTAACGACCCCCCGCGCCTCGCTCCAAGACGCGGGCAGGCGGCCAGAGAGAGGGGGGCCTCGGCCTCAAGGGTGTATGGGGTCGTCGCTGAAGTAAAACGACGCGAAGATCGGGACAAAATCGGATCGGGATAACTCGAAATCTCTGAGAATCGGCGGGTTTGGAGGATGTATTGGGCGCCGCGGCCGCTCCAGAGCGTTCCGGAACACTCTGAGAGCGCTCCGGAACGCTCTGGAGCGATTTATCCCGATCCTAGCCCTGTTTTATGAAGTGGCTCGTCATGGAAGAGGTCGGTCAGGCCGCGCCCTTGCCAACTCCAGGGTGCCCTTGTCCTGTGGTCCCACAACCGACGCGAACGTCAGTAAACGGCCTCAGAGACCTCCAAGATGAAAACGTTGCCTCCGCCACTGTGAGCGCTGCTCTCCGCTCTCGTCCCGTCGACGCTGCCTCTCGCCTCGCCCCAAGATGTGGGCAGGCGGCCAGAGGAGGGACCCCGATGGCGAGGGGCTCGGCACGGAAGGAGCTGGCGACGACGACCACCTCCAGCACCACGGACGCTGTCGACGACGACGACGCGATCACGACGCGGCGACGCAGCGGCGGCGGCGGCGGCGCGACGACGACGACCACCACCGCCACCAACGCCACGAACACAGCGAGGACGTTTTGTTGACGGCGACGCTGCGACGCCCACGGCGGCGACGGCCGTCGGTCGGAACTGAGGCGCCGCCGCCGCCCGGCAAGGCGCGCGGCTCGCCGTCGCCGAGCCGCCCCGACGCCGCGGCCAAGGCGCTCGCGCGTCGTCGTCGTCGTCGTCGTCGTCGTCGTCGTCGTCGTCGTCGTCGTCGTCGTCGTCGTCGTCAACGTCGTCGTCGTCGTTTTCTGACTATCTCAACTTGTTTCGGAAAGAGCGCGTTCTGTGGTCGCTTGGAGGGGGGGGGTTGTAACTGGACCCCCCCTCCGCCCCCTGGATGGAGGGGGGGGGGGGGTTCGAACCCCCCCCCCCCTGGCGCCCTCCCGTGACGAGGAGGAGGAGGAGGAGGAGGAGGAGGAGGAGGAGGAGGAGAGGAGGAGGAGGAGGAGGAGGAGGAGGAGGAGGAGGAGGGGTTCGAACCCCCCCTCCCCCCCCTCCCCTCCAGTGACAGCGGGGGGTGCTGGTGGTGGGGCCGGTGATGGCGATGGTGAGTTGTGGTGGTGGCTGTGATGGTGGTGGTGGCTGTGGTGGTGGTGGTGGTGGTGGTGGTGGTTGTGTTGGGCTCTTGGTGGTGGTGGTGGTGGTGGGTTGAGGCGGTGGTGGTGGTGGTAGTGGTCCTCGGCATCGCTCGGACGTGTGCGTCTTTCCTTCAGCGAGGACCATCGAGGAGCATCCTTGACCATTTGGCCAACAAAAACCACGCACGAAACCGAAAAAACACAGGGAATGGGCGTCCGAGCGATGGCCAGGGTGGTGGTGGTAGTGGTGGTAAGCGTCGCTACATCCCCGCCGTCGCCAGCGCCAGCGCCGGCGCTGCTGGCCGCCGCCAGCGCCAGCGCCGGCGCGAGGGAGGGGGGGGGGTTTGAACCCCCCCCCTTCCCTGGCGCCAGGGATGGGGGGGGTTCAAATCCCCCCCACCCCCTCCGGGCTGCCTCTGGTCATCGTCGCTGCGTGCCCGCCGTGGGCGCTGCTAGCGGCCGTCAGCGCCGGCGCCAGCGCCGAGGG